AAAGAATAATCAAATAAGAACCATGGCTATATACATAAAAACCATGGTTTGTGCATGCACCAAAACAACCATAATCTTGGTCACAAGAAAGTGATTGTAAATCTAATTCACTTTTATTAATCTATGGATTTCAATTGCCATAGTAGCGGATATAAGTAACAAACCCCACAAAATTAAACTATAAATATTTTAAAAATCTCATATACAACATTATATAGGACCAAATCAGGCTCTAGGATAAGATTTTAGTCTTTATATGTTGTTTTCTTGATAACTTTCGAAGGATCATGCTTCCTGCAATAAACCATGTTTATAAATTCTTTCAAAATACCAGATTGATAGAGTGCAGGTGGAATTCAATGCAAACGAAAATGCCTAGAAAAGAGATATATCGATGACAATATACTTATCTTTGACATTTTTCAAACAGTTGGGTGCTTTCAAATAAAAGCTCACATGTTACATCTTGTTATCATGTTCCTTTGTTCTGTTATGTTACTTATGTTGCTGGTGTATAAAAAAAAAGCAAAAAACACTCTAACATACTAAAGTATTGAACCCAATAAATTTAGCATAAAAATTAAATCATTTTGGATTGAAAAATTGTAAGGAACAAAGAAACTGAAATGGGTTAAAAACAGTTTACCTGGTGGGATAACATGCCGAACAAATGTTTCTCCATTGAAAGTGATATCTTTTTTTCTCTCATCACCTCACATCTTCAACATGAAATATATATATATATATATATATATATATATATATATATATATATATATATATATATATATATATATATATATATATATATTGTATTCATCAATCTATTATAGTAAATAACAAAAAATTAATACGACTATAAATTAATATGCGTAAATTCACATTATAATTAATTAATTATATTTTGAATTCATCAACCTATTTAAGTAAATAACAAAAAATTTAATAACCTATTTAACTAAATAACAAAAAATTTAATAACCTATTTAACTAAATAACAAAAAATTTAATACGGACTATAAATTAAGAATGTATATATCTTTCCTTATATACTATCTGCCATCTCATTCGCAATCACTTTTTTTCCTATATCCACCAAGGAGATGAAAGGTCACCATCCAAACGGAGATTGGACGGAGGTCCAACGATGTAGAAAGAACAACAAATTTCTAGCAAAGAACAAACTCAAAAACTTCTTCGTAGCAGGCTTTCCAGATGCAATAAAAAAAAAAAAAAAAAGAGCTTCGAGAACCATTCCCTAGGTTTGGTAAAGTGGTCGACGTCTACTTTGGAGGGAAGAATGACTATCAAAGAAGGAACTACGCATTCATTAGATTCCTTGAAGTTGAAGATGATAAAGCTCTGGAGAAGAAATTACAAGGCATCAATTGTAGGGGGGAAAGCGGTGGAAATCAACATCTCAAAGCATCAACGAAAGCCAATTCAACCCCAAGGAGACAAAAGGAGAAGGACCGCAAACATAGAACCCATGAATCAAAACACCGCCGCCCGAAGTGATTCATACCAGATTCCGATGTTCAGAGGTATTAAAACTTATGCTCAAGCCTTATCTAGGAACAGAAACAAACAGATGAAGAGAAATGAATCTCCCATTATACTCAATCCGAATACCTATATGAATGAGTGGTTAAAAAAGTGTGTTAATCGGTGAAGCAGATAGTCTAGACCATCAAGGAACGGTGCACTACTCTCATGCGGTGAAAGAACAGACCAAATATCTGGGTGTACTCAGAATTGCCATCCACTTCGATTGTTCCATCGATGCTATTGCATTCCTAGAAGACAAAAGTCGTTGGAAAGGCTGGTTTATATGGCTAGTTCGAGCCAATCAACACGAACAGAAAGACGAAAGGATGGCATGGCTTAAAATCCTTGGTGTTCCGCTCAATCTTTGGGACGAAGATAATTTCAAATTAATAGCAAGTCGATTTGGCAAGGTGATCAACCCTTTTGATAATATATATGGAAGGAGAGATTACTCCATGGGAAAGGTAGGCATCCTCACGTCAGAAAAATATTGGATTAACTCAGAAGTCACCATGAAATCCAATGGCAAAGAATTCCAGGTGGGGGTAGTGGAATACAATGATGACTGGTCACCGTTCAAACCGGTTCCATTTGACAAAGTGGAGGAATCTGATGTAGACGAAGCCGTCGAAGATGAAGAAGATACCGTGGGGATATCAGACACCTGGATGGGAGAGGAAGAAAATGAATCAGAAGAAGATGGGGAATTTCGCCCTAATCGCACCTACTCGGTCAATTCTCCAATGTCGGAATCAGCTGTCCTAGCAGTCGGCGGCAATACTCAAGCATCTGCGGTCGAGAATTCGAAAAGGTCTCCAGATGCTGACCGGATAGAGGGGAATTTCGAAACAATAATCAATGCACTTATTTACTCAAAAGATATCGAGGTAACGGTTGGAGTTCCCATTGTACCAACACATTCAAATACATTATCGGTGGATGCATCACAACCAAATGTGGACCCCATCAACCTCATACCCTCCACTCTTGGACCAATTGAAAATCTTGGTCCATGGGGGTGCTTTGGACCATTCCCTAACAACAACTGCATTCCCCTTTTTAATTTTAAGTCCATCCAAGCCCAAGATAAGATACACACACCAGACACTGAATCCAACAGCGGAGACCCGAAACCTAAGAAAAGGAAAAGAGACAAATCCCTTACTAACTTACCAATTACTTCCTGCATATCGAATACCTTACTCCCCCTTGACACTGGAACGACAACCATTGACCTCAATACTAATCCCTCTAGACATCATGTCATAGCATCTTCAGGAGATTGCAACAGCGAGTCAAACTCAAAAGAAATTATATAGACAGTTGAAATTGGGTTTGCAATAGGGTTCCAAATTGACATCGACAACCAAGTTATTGTTGCAGTAGTAGGTGAAAGCGGAGAGAAATATATTGCACAATGAATTGTCTATCTCTGAATGATAGGGGAATAGGGGTGAAAGAAAAAATTAATTGCGTTAGGAAGCATAGAAACATAAACAGAGTTAACTTCTTAGGGATTCAAGAAACAAAACCGCTTGGTCATGAAAAAATTGACGTGTTGAAGTGTTGGGGGAACCAGGACTTTGAATTTGAAGGGCTGAACTCAAATGTCAGATTAGGTGGGTTACTATCGATATGGAATAACACATGCTTTCATAAAAAGGAAGTGATTAAATCATGCCACTTCATCATTGTCATAGGGAAATGGATTGGAACCAATGGGGATACCATATTTGCCAACATTGACGGACCACATGATGTTAAAGTGTAACATCTGGGTTTGCGGGTATGCTATTTTAAATATTTATTTTTGGGATTTTTGGAGGGACTCGATGAGTTGGTGCATGAACTCGTCGAGTAGGGTCGGGATCCTTTGACGCGTTTAGCGATCGGACTCGGCAAGTCAGGTATCTGACTCGACGAGTCAGTGCTGACGAAGAAAACCCTAATTCCCTACGTTTGGAGTCTATTTAAAGGCCCTTATGGCCTTCATTTGCGGCCACTACACTCCTGAGAAACCCTAGATAGTAGAGAGAGAGCTTGTAGAGAAAGAGGATGGCTAATTCATCATTCTTTGGTATGTTTTTGCAAAGGGAAGGAAGGATTTCGGGCTAGGCTAACTTGTGGGACTCAAATCTACCATCATTTCGTTCAGATCTGTTGTGGGAGGTATGGATTCATGCCTATCATCATTTGAGTAATAGATTTCATGAATCTAGGGTTTCTTCTCTTCATTTTTGGTAGAGATCTAGTGTTTGTGATGTCCCTTTGTGACAATATTATCAGATCTGGACCTTGAGAGGTCCAGAGAGTCCCTATCCTTCAGCTTCATGCAATCCTTTATGAGTTTTGGAGCCTAGGTTATCATATTAAAGGTTATTTTGGCATATAGAGATGATAGTATGATGCAATGACCTAAAGTTCAAACCTTTACATGACTTTTGGGTTCTAGGAGGCCAAATCTATAGGTTGGTGAAGCATATCTGACCTTAGAGGGTCGATTGAGCATGAGCATGGGGGAAACTCGCCGAGTCCATTGGTAGACTCGACGAGTCGAACCGGGTTGCCCGCGATTCGTGACCATTGGTGACTCGACGAGTTAGGTGAGTGATGCAGTGAGTCAAGTGAGACCTTGGGAAGGAATCTGAGTACGCGTATGGACTTGCCGAGTAGTCGCATAAACACGACGAGTCTGGTCAGTGTGGACTGTTGACTTCAATTGGCTTTTAGGGCTTAGTTAACCAATGGACCTTTGGACCAGTAGAGGGGTAGAATGGTCTTTTACCCTTCTAGAAGTTATAGTAAGAGACTTATTTAGCTTTTGAGAGCCGTTATTGATTTAGAGCAATTTATTTATGTGATTAGGCAGAAGCTAGATCAGTATTCCGAGTTCGAGACTATTTGAGATTTCCCAAGGTGAATCTTCTCACTATACTTTACCTAGAGCGGTAATTAGAGTTATGTGACAGAGTATCTTGTATGATTTTGTATGATGTGATTCTATGTGATTTGTGCTATGTATGATTCCGAGTTCACAGAGTTAGGACCGAAAGGTCCACATAGTTATGGGATTGGAGGGTCCCATTGAGACACATTGACTAGAGGGTCGTATAGAGTTATAGCCTCGAGTGGCTAATATGTGTTCTATGTGGTATTTTGGGGAACTCACTAAGCATTTGTGCTTACCGTGTTATGTGTTATGTGTTTCAGGTACCAGCGAGGATCGCGAGAAGGCGCCGACATGATTTGTACACAGTGGCAGAAGATTATATTTTTTTGAGATTCTGGGATATGTTTATTTGTGATGACAGTTAATAACATGAGATTTGGAAATATTATATGATTTTTATTGTGTTGAAAAATGAAAAAATTGTTTTGGAAATTCTCGTCATTACAAGTTGGTATTAGAGTCTTGGTTTGAGAGACTCGGGTTCACCTTTCGGCGTATCTGAACTCAAACTGAGGAATTGTGAAATTTTTCACAATAAAACAATTTTTTCTAAAAGAGTAAAATGTTTTGAAACGAGCAGAACAGAGCAGTGTGTATGATCAGTCAGCGCCCGAACAGTGATTTCCCAAAATACCCTTACACTATGTGTTATAAGATACGATATGATATGTTATGCATGCTAGAGTAGGCTAGGTATTCATGTTAGGACTAGAGTGGTCTGATTGTGATGCCTTAGCCTAGGAGATTACTGCTACTATGGGATACTTGAGAGTGAGTAAGTAGCAGCGATGAGCTAACGAGAGGTATGCTGGAGAGTAGCTTGTGCATATCAAGATTAGAGTACTTGTGATCTGGGATCCTAGGAGGTGGACTTGGGGTGAATACTGATGCGGTGTGGATGGTAGTATAGGGCCCGTACTACCGAAGACACCGGATCAGTACGCTGTCCAAGTAAGAATCCTTAGGGTACAAAGGAGCAAGTAGGGTTGAGTTATCGAGTGCGAGTACACTCGAGCGAGTCTCTGATATTTTGTGTTGAATTTCAGAGACATCATGGTGAGTACGCGCCACACTCCAAAGAGCAGCGGTGTCAGCGATGAGGAGATCTGCAGGATGATTCATGAGGAAGTGGCTGCGGCCATACGAGTTGAGATACCGGAGATGTTTGGCTCTATCAAGACCACGTTGATTAAGACTTTTGATGAGCGGTACGCTACTCTTACTGATGTTGTTGTTATTGCGGCCACAGGGAGGTTCTCATTGCTGTATCGAGAGTTTAGCAACACAAAGCCACCAGAGTTTGATGGGATGCAGGATCCGATAGTCGCGATGAGGTGGATTTCTGACATTGAGGGGTGCTTCTACACGTGTTCATGTCCGGAGCATCTGAGGGTACAGTTCGCGTTGAACTAGCTTCGCCTGGGAACGAAGGACTAATGGAAGTTTGTGACAGCGCAATTCACTTCTGCAGAGCATGCTGTGGTGACCTGAGAAAGATTCACCGCCATGTTTCATGATGAGTACGTTCCCCCGGTGAAAAGGGAATGGTTGACCCATGAGTTCTTGTCCCTCAAGCAGGTAATTGAGTATGTTACTGTGATCACCAAGATGTTTCACGGGAGAGCGATGTTTTGCCCTGAGCATGTGTCTACTGAGCAGGCATGCATGAGTCGATATCTGAGTATTTTGAGGAGAGACATTCACGAGTTCGTGGTGAACTCAGCATATCGGACATTTGCCGAGCTCCAGGAAAATGCTCAGAAGAGGGAGATTAAGCTTTAAACGCAGGCCAGGGAGGAGGCGGAGTCTCAGGGGTGAAATTGACGACCGACACAATCCCATCCGACAGCCCAGCAGACAAAGCCTACCGATTCGAGATCAGGGAACTAGAAGGGCCGAACTTGTGGCAAGTGTAGAAAGAGCCATGAGGGGATTTGTCGAGCGGGGTCTTGCTACAAGTGTGACAAGGAGGGGCATATGGCTAAGGATTGCCCCAAGGGATTTGCGGTGTGCTTCCACTGCAACCAGACCGGCCATCAAAAGGCAGAGTGTCCACAGCTGCAGGGGTCGACACAAGGAGCACCTCAGGGATATGCCCCTACTGCCGTACGAGCTATCGAGATTCGGCCAGCAAAGGCCGAGGCACCAAAGGCTCACGGGAAAGCCTTCCAGTTGATAGCGGAGGAGGTCTGCGCAGTGCCCGACGTCGTGGCTGATATGTATTCTTTTATTTTTGCTGAGTTTGAGTAATTGTGCTTATATTGTGATATGCTTAGGTACTTTTCTTGTGAATTCTTTACCTGCTCTGGTGTTATTTCACTCAGGTGCGAGTCGATCTTTCGTATCATTAGCGTTTAGTCAGCACATCAGTATCCGACGAGAGGCGTTGAGTCGGCCTCTACCAGTTTCTATAACCGACGAGCGAGCGGTATATGCGACTTATGTGATTCGAGGATGTGTGCTCGAGATCTTCGGTGTCGAGTTCCCGATAGATCTAATACCGACTGCGATGAAAGATGTTTGTGTTATTGTGGGCATGAATTGGTTGACTCGATTCAGAGTTGTTATAGATTGCGAGCGTCAGTTGGTGATTATACAAGACCCTAGTGGGGGAGTGCTTACAATGTACGGAGAGGGTACTAGAACCGGATCAACTTTTTGTTTTGCCGCTTGAGCGAGGCAGAGTTTACAACATGGTTGTATGGGTTTCTTGGCGTATGTCATGGATACATGGGTTGGTAGTGATAGACCGAGTTTTGTATCAGAGGTGTCGATAGTGTGTGAGTTCGCGGATATTTTTCGCAAGGAGTTGCTGGGTGTGCCTCCAGAGAGGAAAATGGAGTTTCGGATTGACCTAATGTTGGGTGCAGGGCCGATAGCCAAGGCACCCTATCGCCTTGCACAACCAGAGATGTAGGAGTTATCGTCTCAACTTCAGGAGCTGTTGGGGAAGGGATTTATCAGACCGAGTAGCTCGTCATGGGGAAACCCGATCCTTTTTGTGAAGAAAAAAGATGGTTCACACCGGATGCGCATCGATTAGCGGGAGTTGAACAAGTTGACGGTCAAGAAGCGTTATCTACTACCGAGGATCGATGATCTATTCGATCAGTTGCAGGGCTCATCTTGGTTTTCCAAGATCGAATTGAGGTCTGGATATCATCAGATGAGGTTACAAGAGGAGGATATCCAGAAGACAGCTTTTAGAACTCATTATGGTCATTACGAGTTCGTGGTGATGCCTTTCGGGCTTACCAATGCACCAACAATGTTAATTGACCTCATGAACAGAGTGTGCAGGCCGATGTTGGATCGTTCGGTGATCATGTTCATCGATGATATTCTCATATATTCGAAGTCTAGGGAGCA